TCGTATTAGTTGCAGGACTCACAAGGCATTCTATGCACAATGATGTGCAGTGTAACCTGCAAAGTCAGTCCAGTATACTTTACCTTGTTGCATAAATAAACTGTAGTGAACATCATCTTTACCTTTTGGGTCGCGAAGGCGTACGCGTCAGAGAACGCTTCCAAAGTCACCGACCTGGTGCCAGAATCCCAGCTTCGGCAGAAGACAACTGGAATCTGGAACAAACTCCTTCCATATATTTGCACCAGGATCACCTTGGCTTTAGCATGGATCTTCATCCCGTCCGTTTAGTCAGAAAGAGCAGCTTAGAATTTTTTCTGGAGAAATTCGCGACAAATGACCAAGCCACCGTAGCTTTGACTTCTCAATCTTGCGAAGTATAGGATGTACACCAAGCCTCTTTCGGATGTATGAATTCTGAACCATGTCGAGACGCGTAAGGCCAGCGACTCGTCACATAAATCCCATTTCAGTAGATTGCACGCCGGTTCGAAGCTTTTCCGTCATGGCAGTAGGAAAGCACGCGGAGAAAGATCGAGTTGAACACCAAGAGCTTAGTTTTCAAACTGAGCTATTATAGGCAGAACGTCACTGCCTACTCCGATTCACCCATCGATCTCTCCCTCAAATTTTAAATCACTTGCAAGTCGGACTCTGAGGAACTTCAACTTCTCCACCTATTACAATACCTCTCCGCTAATCCGAAGAGAGCAACGGGTAGGAGAACAAGAAAGCTATAGGATTTCTATTTCAGATGCTTTCGCACGCATGCCGATCACTCGACTGCGAACCTTCTAGGGAGAACTGTAGATCAGATTTTGAACATGAAAATTAAAGATGGCCGTCTGCAAGAAGCAGCGTTCTAGAATCCATATCTCCTTCTCTGAAACAAACATCGCTTTGGCTGCTTCTGAATATTTTATCCATGCACAACAAAAATAGGAGAGGGGACTGAACGCAGCCTTGACGAAGACCAGCGCCAACGTTGAAGGCCTTCGACAGAACGCTATTTGTTCTGACGCAACACACGCTAGCAGAATACAACGATTGAATGGCCCCTAGCACCTGGCCATTTAACCCGGATGCTCGCAAGCATCACCACAGGCAGCTTCCTATGACGCGGTCATTGGCTTAATATAAATTTAAAAAACACATGTACATCGAATGGGTATACTCCTATGATTTCTCAATAATCTGGCGCAGGGCAAATATATGATCAGAGGTGATTCGACCGGGCCGGAAGCCACACTGCTCTTCTT